ATGCTATAATCTTAGGTTTTTTGATGTTGAGCTTCAAGCCCACTTTTGCGCTCTCCTCTTTCACTTTTAACAAGAGGCTCTTTAGGTCCTCTTCACTTTCTGCCATTAGAGTGGTATCGTCTGCATATCTGAGGTTGTTGATCTCTTTCCCAGCAATCTTAATTCCCGCTTGTGATTCATCCAGACCAGCATTTCACATGATGTACCCTGCATATATACTAAATAAGCAAGGCGACAATATGCATCCTTGTCGTACTTCTTTTCCTGTGCTAAACCAATCAGTTGTTCCATATCCGGTTCTAACTGTTGCTTCTTGACCCTTATACAGGATCTTTGGGATTGGAATGTATACTGACCTTTTCCAATCCTGTGGCCACTGTTGCGTTTTCCAAATTTGCTGGCAAATTGAGTGCAGCACTTTAACAGCATCATCTTTTAAGACTTTGAATAGCTCACTTAAAAGAAAATTGTTATAAGATGATGTATAGATGGTACATGACGCCAACAAAGATGGCAAATGTAAATAGCAATATGTCAAACAAATGTTGGAAATGTAAAAAAATGGAAGGCTCCTTTTATCATATGTGGTGGACGTGCGACAAGACAAGAAGTTATTGGGCTGAGATACATAAAGAAATGGAAAAAATTGTAAAATGTAATTTTAAAAAAGAACCTGAAATATTGCTGTTGGGACTTAGAATGGAAGAAGTTAATGTGCAGAAAAGAACATTGATGTGGTATATGATCACAACTGCAAGAATGACTTATGCACAATGTTGGAAACAAGACAGAACCCCAGAAATTGGGAAATGAATAAAGAAATTAATATTCATGGTTGAAATGGACAAAATGACAAGGAAAGAACCTTGAAGCAGAAGAATTCTATGCAGACTGGAAAGACTTTAAAGAGTACTTAGAAAAATATTGGGATGTAAAGGACAATTTAATTTGCTTTGACAATTATTGAAAAGTTGATGTGATTAGATGAGAATCAATTTAGAGAATATACTAATAGAAAGAAGCGTTACCGGTAGACTATGATTAGAAGATAAGGAAAATAGAAAAGAAATAAGAAATGGGCTGGAGGTTGGAGCACTGTGGGAAGCCAGGGGGGAAGGGGAAAGAGAAAAAAGGATGTATAACAAAAATAATATGTTGTTTGTTTGAATTAATAATATATCCTAATAAATTGTGTTGGGGGGAGGGGGAGAACATCGGTTACATGAGAAATATGTGACTTTCTGTGAGTAACATAAACATTTAACCCCAGATATACTGAGTGTTTTCAACTTGTAATACCCAACAAGAAGGTATATAAAATCCGATAAACAAAGAAAGTGAAAGCGGCATGCAGTGTAGAGGGAGATTAATGTCCTGACGTGGCTGTGGAAAAACTGTGAGGAAACAGATGGGTGCAGAATCAGCCTTTGTCCCCTACCTGGACTACCCCTTTCCCTCCTCTGCCTCTACTGTTGTCACTAGCAGTGCAATCCTAATCAGAAGAGTTACCCCCTTCAAAGTCCATTAGCTAAGAAGGTATAACTCTGCTTACAATGGCCTTGTAGATCTCCAGTGTCCCTGCTTCTGGTCCCCCCTCCTAACCTCCTTCTGCATCCTATTGCCAGTGTTCATAAGCCATTTTGGATTGCTGCAGCAATCCAAAATGCTCCTGAACCCTGCCTTCTCCTTACTGGCAAAGTCTGAATATACAGAGATCTCAACGTTTGTTTTTTGTTTTTTTAGAAAAGGTAGTTATTGCATCTTTAAATAATCTTTTATCACAAAACTAGGGGTTTCCCTGGACTAGCAAAACCCTTAATCATAGCCTTGGCTAGTCTTTTGTGTGGATTTGCCTAACTGCATGGGGGCCAGCCTGTTGGTGTTAGATATAGCAATAGCACCCATACTTCTGATTAAGGCAATATGAGCAGTACTTAATAGATAGAATACTACCCATACATACCCATTAGGGTTGCCAACTCTGTGTTGGGGAATACATGGAGATTTTGGGGGTAGATTAGGGTTGCCAGGGTTTGGGGAGGGGAGGGACCTCAGCAGAATACAAGACCACTCTCCGAACAGCCATTTTCACCCCGGGGAACTGATTGTCTAGAGATCAACTATAATAGCATAAGATCTCCTAGTGCCACCTGGAGGTTAAGAACCCTATTGAAAGTGTATGTCACTAGCTACATCTCCATATGTCCTCATTCAACAATTACAGTCCTTTAGTGGCTACCTCGTGGTTGAACCCTAACTTAAGGTTAGGTACTTAGCATCTAATAGAGTCCTGTCATTTTCAGTAGTGGTGTCATTTTCACTTGGTGGAGAAGGCTTCCTGAGAATGTAAGGGGGAAACCATCCTTAGATGTTTTTAAAAAGCACTACAAGGTCATTTTAACTTGTTAGGCATTTGAGCTGCAGGTTTGGGGGTGAGTTAATGGGTTTTTAATCGTATTATGTATGGTTTTCATTTCAAATTGTAAACTACAGGTTATAAACTTTTTATAACTAAATGAATAAATATATATCTGCCCAAAGACCAAAAGTTCAGAGGAGGACCCAAGATGTCCCCCACCCAAATCTACTACCTGCCTTTAATGATACTGTAAAGTGTGTTCTCTCTGGGTATAAAAACATTCTGCTATAGGACTACAGAGGATGGTTCTGTCATTAGCTATTAAGTGTGACTTGTGAATGATAGCTGTGGAATTTCCATGTACAGCTGCTGAATACAGGTGCTGGGAACAAACTGTATAGGATGGCCATAACCTTCACACCTTTATGAGCTTTCAGTGGCAAATGGCTAGCTACTGTTGGAAACAAAATTTGGATTAAATGAATCTTGCAATGTTAATACTTGTTTTTGAATAGCTGCATGAGCTATCATTTGAGAAACACTACTCTACACAACTACACAGGAAAACCTCTAAAAATTTCTCAGAACAAAGTAAGCCATCTTCTCTACTTACATGAATTGATTGGCCAGACTTTTCCACCATAAACACTTGGACTATATACTTGTAACGGTCAAAGCCCTGGTCCTTGACAGCTGCTAATATATCTTCTGAGAGGACTGAACACTTCGAGGCTGCATTGGACCCATCATATTTGTAATCCTGGAGTGTATTCTATTAAGAATTAAAAATATAGTCACCAATATTCATCTACTAAAAAGATCTCTGTAAAAGTTTGACACTCACTTCTAATATTTAGAAATTCTGTTTCATAATCTTAATTTTTAACCACTTCCTATTCATAAAACTACTTATAATTATTCCAACGATATTTTGATGACCAATTCTGAACAGGTTTCCCTACTCAAACGGAAATACATGGAGATTTTGGTAGGCTGGCTGATGTGTGGGGAGAAGGAAGCAGGGAAGGGGGATAGTCTGGGGGCTACCAGGTAATTTGTAATTTGTCACAAACCAGAAGTCTGTATGGCTTGAAGAACTTTTGAGTAATTGTGCAGCTGCCAGTATTAAGTTATGATATTACAACAAATGGACTCATGGGGAAGGGGAAATTCCGTTTCTCTCTTCCCCATTTGTCCATTCCCTCTTCTGCTAGCTCAACTTCTGCCACCCCTACTCCATCTCTACTTCCTCCCCGCAAGGCACTCAATCTTTCTTTCTCCCCATATGCAGTCAGCACTTTCCCCCTTATAACTCCCCAATAAAAAGGCTAGACATTGTTTTAAAAATGAAAGGTGAGAACTAGATTGTTATAATGTTACAGTGTAATAAAGATAAATTATAGCAATCTAGCAATTTCCAATTTTAAAAAAAATCAATGGAGGAGGAGGAAATGGTAGATATGGGAGGCAAATGCAAGGAGAATGAGGGGGAAATTTCTTTGTAGATGCTCTGTTGCCAGTGTGAATGCTTCTGTATTTCTAACAAAAGCAATACAGAGAATTGTCTGTGTGGATGCAGCCCAGAATTAGAACCTTATCATGGAGAACAACATACTACTCTACCTTTAGGATTTCTTCAGCTTTCTTCCTTATTACATGAGCCTCAAATGGTCTGTATGGTTCCATTCTATATGTGTTGGCATACTTTGGTCTTGCAAAGCTAGCCTTGAATGCCAAGAACTCACTTTTTGTAAAATCCATGGTAGACTCTTCATCTCCAAGATCATAAACATCATGGCTTGATGTCCTGTGTCTGTAAATTTGTGAAAGCTGGGGAAAAACCCTGATAATTTTAGGAATGCTTTATCATAGTTTAGTGCTTCATAGTTAAGCAATTATAAATTTCTGTGACTTTTGCCCCTTCTGCAGAAGACCTTCAACTTTCCCCCAAGCTATTCTGGTGCTTCTCCATCCCCCAGGAAGGAAGAGAAGCAGAAGTCACACTTTTGCAGTTGAAAATCCATGGAAATTTTAGGCAGGATCCATGCCCATGTCTTGAACATCCTTACAGATTATTTTAGGCAGGATCCATGCCCATGTCTTGAACATCCTTACAGATTATTAATCATAATGAAATCAGTGGGATGTTTCTTAAAGATTTTTGTAGTGAATAGAGTGTTATATTGGGGAGAACCAGCTTCAGGTCCCAGCACAGTCCTAAAACTCAGTGAATGAATTGGGCCAGTCACACAAGATATCAGCCTAACCTACTTCCCAAAGTTGTTATGAGTTCCTTAGTGGAAGAGCAGGATAAAAAGGAATGTTAATAATCATAATTAAATAAGCTTATGTTCTGTTTGGAACTGACTGAAAGGTAGACTGGAGCCCACTGTTAAAAGAACTGAAGGTGATACGATGGAGCCATAATAGCCAGTGATGTAAACACTTAGTTTTTAAGTCCTATAGTTGTTTGCAATTAAAGAGGGTTTGCAGGTTTCTTGCAGCTCTTCAAAAACCTTAAAGTCCTATTTGATCAGGAAGCAGTGCAAGAAACAAAATGACTGTGTATACCACAGAAATGATGACTTTATCATGTCATGTTCAATTTTTGTAAACAGACATTGCAATTGAGGAAGAACTAGATATTTACATTAAAGCAGGTCTTCCTTAAAACAGCACATATCATTATACCAATGATATACCAGGAGCGTCCAGTCCTGTACAAAGATGGGGGTGCCTAAACCCACTTTAAAGATCTTAAGTGTACCTAATTCTGCATTGGATTCAGCTGACACTATGAAGTAAGGCTTCGATCCTATACAGTCTCACTTAGGAGCTTACTTTTGGTGCTTTGAGTCAGGCACACCAGAGTCGTACGGGCTGCATGCTATAGAATCTGCAATTACTGCAATTACTGTCCCTTGTTGAATCTGGTATGAAAGTGACTGTGTATACCACAGAAATGATGACTTTATCATGTCATGTTCAATTTTTGTAAACAGACATTGCAATTGAGGAAGAACTAGATATTTACATTAAAGCAGGTCTTCCTTAAAACAGCACATATAACACCGCCAACAAAAAATTGTGGCTTTTCTTCTTAAAAATCATTATACCAATGATATACCAATATTTACCAGCCACCTGGATTTTTAAGATGATTACCTCTTTTACCCAGGTGGCTGGTAAATAAAATTTAAAAATGGTGTATGTAGTACCAATTGTGTTCTAGGCTGTGGCTTAGCGGTAGAGCATCTGCTTGGCATGCAGAAGGTCCCAGGTTTAATCCCTAGCATCTCCAGTTAAAAGGACCAGGTACAAGGTGATATGAAAGACCTCAGCCTGAGACCCTGGAGAGCTGCTGCCAGTCTGAGTAGACACTACTGATACTGAAGGACCAATGGTCTGATTGAGTGTCAGGCAGCTTCAGGTGCCCATGTGATGTTGCATATTAATGTGCTTTTAAACTAAGAAACATTTCATTGGGAACATTTGGCTGTACAATCTCAGAAGAATATACAGTTGACCAGAGCAATTGGTTTCTGGTCTTTATTCCATATTTTGTATATGTATGATTGTATGACAGTGTCATCGATGCAACGAACATGAAGTTGAGCCAACTTCAGAGGACGGCAGAAGACCGGAAGGCCTGGAGAGAGCTCGTCCATGGGGTCGCGAAGAGTCGGACTCGACTGTGCGACTGAACAACAACAACAACAAATGTATTTTTGCATATCAGCCAACATGTTCTGTCTGTATTAGACCTCTGAGGAAGGCACTGTAAAGGCCGAAACGCATTAGGTCTATCTTATTAGCCCTTGTATGTTTTATATTTGTACATGAGGTATGAATGGGCCCTTGTTTGTTATTTTAATTTATGTTGAATACATGTATATTTTTGTATGTTTCATAATTAGATGTTTAGAGTTGGCCCTCTTCTACTTTTGACTAACCTTTTAAGGTTCTGAATTCTAGGTTTAGTTTCAGTCCCCCCCCCTTTTTCTTCTTTGTCGTTATTGCATATTAATGTGAGCAATCTATATATTAATAGGAGGATAACAAAGAAGCAAGAATGACAAAAAGTGGTGTAAAAGGTTTTAAAAGATATTAAAGATCTTAATTAAGATATTAAACTTGGGACCTTCCGCATGCAAAGAAGAGGCTCTTCCACTGAGCCATAGTCACTTCCTAATGAATTTCCTTCCTACGATCCTTAGGTTGGGCATGCGGTGGGTGTGCAAAGGCTCCCAGTGGCTCCCGGTAGTCCTGCTGCTGTGTTTTTTTAAAACAAAATCTTCATCTATGTGTGTATACTGCGCCAATCTCAGTGATGTACTTTCCACAGCACTAGTCAGAACACTAGGAAAGATTGAAGGTCAAAGAAGACGGGGACGGCAAAGGATGAGATGGTTAGACAGAGTCATCGATGCAACGAACATGAAATTGAGCCAACTTCAGAGGACAGCGGAAGATAGGGGGGCCTGGCGGGATCTGGTCCATGGGGGCGCGAAGAGTCGGACTCGACTGTGCGACTGTACAACAACAAAGTCAGAACACAGCTCTCTTGAGTTACGGGAGCAAGAACAGCCAAACAAACTGGCGCAGCCGCACAACTAAAGAAAGAGCGCGCATGGCACCTCGAAACAGTACTGAAGCGCATGTGCACCGGGAGCGGCAGCCTCCCGCCCACCTACCCGCGGTGCCATTCCGTCTTTATCAGGAGGGGGCGGGCCACTATATTTCTTTGAGGCGTGGTGGGAAGGGGTGCTGGTCAGCTTCTTCTTTTTGTCCATGGCACACCTGTACCCTGTCTGTGAGAGCCACAACAAGGAAGGGGGCGGTGGCTGAGAGAGATTCCTTCAACAACAATACAAACGCCTTCAGTTCGATTGGTGGATAATTCGAGCGTTCGTTGAAGGAGAAGACGAGATTTTCCCCTCCTTGATGACGTCACCAAGCGCGACAGGAACCAAGGACGGAGTCAGAGCCGGGAAGGAATGGAGAGGAGTGCAGCGCAGAGAACAGGACAGACTGTAGCAGGCGCGTGTAACACAGTTAAGCAACTTCCTCCCTCCCCTCCCCGCGAGAGTGTCGCGTTCATTATAACATATAACTGTCACTTTTGGAGCGTAACGGTAGTAGTGACAGGCTGTAGAGGTGTTGTATTCATGCCCTTTTAAAAACTTTAACGCGTGCGCGTTCGCATTCGTGAGGCCGCGCGCTGTTGTATTCACCCGTCAGTCTGCAGCGGCAATAATAAGCAGGAGTCTTGCAGCACTTTAAAATTGACACGTTTGAGGGCTTGGGTTTACGAACACTTATGCTACAATGAAAACTCGCTAGTCATTAAGGTGCCACCGGATTCCTGTGATTATAAAATAACGAAATTAAACGAATAATGGCTCTGGAGGGATGCAGTTTGAAAAGTAATATTTAAGTAATGCCACCCGAGAAAGAAAGACTGATAGTTTACAATTGATTCATGCTTATCAGCCCTAAGAAAAATAGTACTGAATTATATGGAAAGGAAGTAAATTCAAAAGGACAGCAACCATAAGAAACTTGAGTAGTGTTTTATTTACAGTGGACATTCTGATGCTGAGATTGTTTTTTAACTTTAAAAAAATATTGCCATGATCTCAGGTCAGAAAAAAAGAGAGAAAGCAACACAGAAAATGCTGAAATGCAACAGGCACCACACACAGTGTTGTCTGGATTCTTGATTGACAGGTTCCATGAGGGTAGTCAGGTGGCAAAACCAAAAAGGAGCCTTATGGCAACTTAAAAACTCCTCCAGGAATTTCTCCTCCAGTGCTTGCAAACACAAGAAGTTTCTCTGTTGGGTGGATTCCCTGGGGGTTCAGAATAAAAGTCTCTGTGGCCGATTCCGCACTAATGCTTTGCCCCCCTTTTCCCTGGGTCTAATTGGCCCAATTCTATGCATGCGTTTCCACATTACAGAAATCTGGCCCAGGTTTTGCCCGGGTGTTCATTTCCGCATGTCTCCTTGTCCCGAATCTAGAGCCCCCTCCCCTCTCTTCTCCCTCCTTTTTTTATGGAGGTGGGGTTGCGTTGTAATGCACCGCCCACTGAAACGTCGATTGGTCCCTTTAATTTTTGACCCTCGATGTCTGGGAAAAAAAACACAGGTGGCGGGGGGGGGGGGGGGGGATGCAGCCGGGAAGTGGGGGAGGGGGCAGATGAGAAGACAATATAGGAACATGAAAAAGAATGCCTTTACACATGGCGAATTGCCAAACAGAAATGAGAAAATAGCATACCGACATGTAAAAGGACATTTAAATGCCGTCAACGATGGCCCATTGTTGCATTGCAATGCAACACGGGGAGGGAAATAAAAAAAAAAATCCTGTGCAGGCTGAAGGGGGGGTTTGCAGGCGGGAAGGGGAGGGGGAGAGAGAAGCAGGAGGGCGTTGAAGAGATGTTGATAGGCAGGAATGGGAGTGAAGGGGAGGAAAAGAAGCAAAGGGGCGGAGAGGAAACAGCCGCAAATCGCAAGTTCCCCACTGGAGTGCCCCAACTTCAACACTGCAGCAAAAAATCCCAAACCTGAAAATAGTGGAGACGGAAAGTCCGGGGGAAACGCCATTAGATTCGGGCCAATTCCTAACTCGGACCAACATGTGGGGAACTGATCAATTTCTACGGATATTATCGGGGTGGGGGTGGGGGTTAACACCGGAGCAAGCGATTGTGCAGAATCGGCCTGTGAGTCAACAGAAAACTGAGAGGCAGTGTTCCAGTCCTTCCCCACACATATACATGGGTGATATTGGATACAGCATTCTTTTACTAGAGATGCCAAGGACTGACTATGGGATCTTCTGCATGCAAAAAGTGCCTCTACTAAAGAGCCCCAGGTGTCCCTGACACTGATTATCATGGGACCAGAATGTAGGGACAATTATTTTCCATATCTTTTTGCTGTTTCTAAAGCCATAAAAAGTGGATGTTAGGACAAGGGCAAAAGAAGCTGGTATGGGAACTATATACAAAACTATTTATGACAGATGTAAAAAAACCCCTATTTTTATAGGTGAAACAACAAATCAGTATTACAAATGCATCTTTTGCAGCCCACTTAAATGAAATGCTTAGTAACTGCATTGATTTTAAAAGGAGACAATAATATATGCACTTTTTCTCTCACTAACTTGAATAAAATGCTTAATGTTGACTGGATCATGTTCATACTTAAAATTATGTAGTTGAAACATTAGTGATGTTAATCAATGGTGGTAGCATCTGTTGTAAGTCTATGTACCTTAGGACTGCAAAATGTGCATTGTTTATATTATGTTTTCCCTTCTGGTCATTATTTTTCACTTTGTTTCAGATATTGGATTGTGATTCAGTCACTACTTGCCTTTCTTCTACAGTACACTATATGGTTTGCGAATTAGGATTTGAGAAAGAAGCAAATTATGCTGTTAATAGCTTTCTGACAAGCAGTGGTGAAATAAATTGGAAAACAATAATAGAACACATACATTATAGCAAGACAGGTGTGTATTTGCTCTTAATGAACCATGTATTAAACGTTGTTTGTTACGTGCACTTTTTTTGCCAATCGCTTTTCTGTAATTTAGTACATTTTAATATCAGCCACACTGAACAAGCATTTGTTGTTCTTTTACATTGGCATAGATCCAACAGTCCCCTTCTGCTAAGTTTGGTGTAGTGGTTAGGAGCACAGACTGTAATCTGGGAGATTCCCCACTCCTCTGCATGCAACTGCTGGTATGACCGTGGGTCAGTCATAAGTTCTTTCAGAGCTGTTCTCTCAAGGGCAGTTCTCAAGAGAGAGCTCTCAACCTTTGAGAAGAGCTACTCATGAGTAATGGTAGACATCCAGTAGCCCTGAATAGAGCCAAGAGAACTTTGATCTCCATTGTCTGCCAAACAATACTCCATGCAGCCATTACAGTGTTGTTTTGCTTTCCAGAAAAAAAGTTCCGACTCGGGTCCTTTCTCTACCGCTCATTTCCCTCACTTTCTCCATGCACATCCATCGCCTTTGAATTTCATTCAGCATTTCCTCCCCCTTTCAGTTTGCGTGTCCCTCAGGTTTTCTTTGCTGTTCTGTGTTGCTTTTCACCCATTCAGCTATCAGTTCACTTTCCTTTCGCTGTATCCCCAGCTTTTCTGAAAGTGATTTTGCAGCAGAGTTTTCACTTGCCGCATTTCCAAGCTGAAGGTAATTCAGAAACATACATATTTCCTCTGATCTTTCAACCCCACCCTTTTCCTGCCCCTGTTCCCACTCCTCTTTGTTGTCAACCCCACAGCCAAGATTGAGGCTTGTTGTTCCTCCCACATTCCTCCCTGCTTCTGCTCTAGTATTGCGAGGGTTTCCCATCTTTTTAATTCATTTATTTTTAACAAGCCCTCTGAATCTAGCAAGATGATCAGTTGACTGCTAATCTTTGATTGGTGGGGAAAAAAAGCAGGGAATGCTTTAACAGGTTGGCTGCAGTTAGGGGAGGTGGCAATTTTTTTGGTCTCTCCTCCCTGCAGCAGTTGGGCTTCTTAGAGTAATTTGAGAGCTTGGTAAAAAGTGATGCTTTTCTCTTCTCCCCACCCCCACATTCTCTTGCACTCCCCCTCCTCCACACACTAAAACCAGCACAAGGAAAAAGGTGCTCTCTGACAGAGGTCTGCCCATGGTCATGGTCTCCTGGTGACACACAAAAATAGCTGTTTATAGTAAATAGAATAAAACTACTGAATGGTTTTGAAATAAGACTGCCACATGATTACATTCTACATGAGGGAAAACAAGAGACCTATTTCTAAGAATGGCATGTTTATAAATGGTACTGATATTTTATGCCAATAAAGGCTGACTTGACTTGAACTTGAATGGCATGTTAGTTCAGTTGCTTAGGGCATCATGCTCATTACACCAAAGTCATGGGCTTGATCCCTGTGATGTGCGGGGTAGGTTTTTTGTTGTTAAAAACATTTAAATGTAAAACAACAAGGCACCAGTTTAATCTTAGGCTTGCTTCCAGAGACTGAAAAGTGCAGTTTTGTAATTGTAGCTGCTTCTAGAAACTGCCGAAGTTGCCTCCCCAAGCCTAAAGCTTTGAAAACGTTTGAAAACAAGGTTTGGTGTGTGTGTGTAGGGACCATTTTGGCAGTCTCCAGAAGCTTAACATGAAAACAGCACCTCACTGTTTAACGTAAAAAAATGTTTTCACAAGGTTGTGATAGTCGTGGTGGTGGTGGCAGGCATATCTATGTCTTCCAAGTAGCAGCTGTAGCTATCAGGGTGTGTGTGTGTGTGTGAGCCCCAGTCGCCCCTTCCCCAAAGGAGATGCCAGGAGAGTGGCTGCTGCATGTGGAACGCGGGAGAGGGCTCTTTACCAGCCAGACCCCTGATCTGGAGCCAAAGTGCCAGCAGTGGCGGCCTCTTGCCTTTCGATTTCCCACTTTCCAGACGTTGTGGAATTGCTCGCCCCCCCCCACACCAGCTGCCCCCTCCATGCTTACTCTTTTGAAGAAAGTGAAAGACAGGGTAGCACCTAACCTTCCACCACTCAGATAGAAACCTCCCCAGCAGCAACAGAGGGGGGATATAAAAGCAGAAGCTTAAAAAAAAATTTTTTAAACACCTTGCCCTCTCCCACCACGAGGATTTAAATGGAAGGTGCTTGGTGGACGCTACTACGCAGCTGTGATAGGGCAATTCTGTAATTCTGTAATTTTTTTTTAAAAAATGGATGCCACTCCCACACGTAAAAAGTGATTTTCCACACCGATTTAGAAAAGTGCAGTTTTTTAATTGTAGCTGAGGAATAAATACATTAGATGGTGTAAGACTAGTGCAGACAGCAGGCACAGAAATCCAAAGTCAACTTTAAAGGCAAACAAAACGGATAACCCTGCACAAACCTGAGAGGATATCACAGTGCCTATCAGAAACCACTAATGCAAATAACCAGAAGAAGAACAAAGAAGGAGTATCACAGATAGAAAGCCTAAAACCAAAATACTGCCATGAAAGTTAACTAAGAAGAAATTACTAAAAATACCTTTTATTATTTATGCAAAATTATTTTCAATAAATACAATTTTCTATAACCTGTAGCTATCTGTGTGATTCTTAATATGTCCTTAATATGTCCTGCATATTGAACTATAATTGGCATTAACCTTTTAGTTTATAAACACCTGACAGCAGGCTGTCTTCTTGTAACTACATACAGGTGCTTGGTAGGTAAAGCTCTTCAATGACTGGATAACAATCCTGAAATCACTTATACATGGAGTTTTGCTTTTTACAGGATAACAATTCAAAATAAATGCAAACACATACTCTGGGGAATCACTTTCGTAACATGTGGGCTGTGCCATGTTTTTTGTTGGCATAACATTCTGGCAGGGGGTGTTCCCAGGCTGAAAGGACACAGGGAGCCAACTAACTCTGCCCATGCCCCCAAAACCGACCACACTGGCACAGGGGCCTATGCCTCAGTTGTGTCAACAGGTGGCTGCCACAGTCCACTACAAACACCCACAAGTGACAGAGTGGCACTGGGGGCCTGTGCCGTCATAAGTGGCCCTTCTGTGGGCGTATCTCAGACATACACCAATGCAGAGGTCAGTTGGCTCCCTGAGCGCATTTCAGCACCCCGGTAGGCTTTGCTCTGTAAACTGTGATAAAATAGCTGCTATAAATCCCTGACTCTCTCATTCAGTCCTAGAGAGTCAGCCTGCAGCACCAGAAACAAAGACAGAACTGAGTCAAATCCATGAGGAACACAGTGGTAGATTTAGCACGCTACCTTTTCAAATCTGTTGTTCCATCATAGAGATTCTGCTGTGTCTGCTAGCAGCATTTTCATGTGTTTGACACTTTTAAAACCTTTTTACGGATAACTTTCCTGAAAACGATAGTCGGCCAAAGGCATAAGGGAAAGACCAGTTTCTGCAAGTACTACTTGTGCAGGTCCATTGAGTCATCGTTAGTTCCTGACATTTTTCTGGCAACTACAGTTGTAAGGCATGACAGTAATTCAATAAGAAGCATTCAGGATTATTATGGAAATAATTACTTCAGTGCAAGACAGTAGTGTCAGACTTAAGATATATAAGACAATCAGTGGATAATATTGCTGCTGCTATAAACTTTCTTCAGCATACTGGTGACACAAGTACTTAGTAACAGGCTTCCAGGAGCAACTTTCAAGCAGTTCCATGAACTTCAGCAGCAAATGTGGACAAAGTGTATGGACAAAGGAGCCAGAGGGTAGATGACAGTGACAAGGATCCTCTATCAGGCTCAGTGAGAGAAAGAACAGTGACATGGGCTGAATCTGCATTGGCTTTTTCCTCCATTGTTTTACGAAACCCAGGTTGGAACAGAAATTCCCCCCCTGCATTGCATGCTGCTTCCACTTCCTTTGATCATCGGATTTTATGGTAGCCTCCACACTCCATGCCGTTTTTTCACTTCCTTTGATCATTGGGTTTTATGGTACCTTCTGCATAGATTT